TCTGGCGCTGCACATCTTTATGGTGATTGGGTGTCGGTCCCCCAGCGCGAGGCCCGGGTCCTCCGCCCCCCGCCCCGGCCGCCCCCCGCCGCTCGCCCGGGCTTCCTCTCGAGGAGCCTGGCGGTTCCGCGGGCTCCTTCTGGGACAGACCGGGAGGCCGCGAGCTCCTTCTGGACGACCGGGAGGCCGCGAGCTCCTTCTGGGACAGGCGGGGTGGCCTCGAGTTCCTGGGACAGACCGGGAGGCTCCGAGCTCCTTCTGGGACCGACGGGGTGGCCGCGAGCTCCTTCTGGGACAGACCGGGAGGCCCGAGTTCCTGGGACAGACCGGGAGGCCGCGAGCTCCTTCTGGGACAGACCGGGAGGCGCGAGCTCCTTCTGGGACAGACGGAGGGCTCGAGCTCCTGGGACAGACGGGAGGCCGCGAGCTCCTTCTGGGACAGGAGGGGAGGCCGCGAGCTTCTTCTGGGACAGACCGGGAGGCCGCGAGCTCCTTCTGGGACAGACCGGGAGGCGCGAGCTCCTTCTGGGACGACGGGGGGCCGCGAGTCCTTCTGGGACAGACCGGGAGAACCGGGAGAACTCCTTCTAGGACAGACCGGGAGGCCGCGAGCTCCTTCTGGGACCCGACGGGAGGCCGAGCTCCTTCTGGGACAGACCGGGAGGGCTCGAGCTCCTGGGACAGACCGGGAGGCCGCGAGCTCTCTGGACAGACGGGGAGGCCGCGAGCTCCTTCTGGGACAGACCGGGAGGCCGCGAGCTCCTTCTGGGACAGACCGGGAGGCCGCGAGCTCCTTCTGGGACAGACCGGGAGGCCGCGAGTCCTTCTGGGACAGACCGGGAGGCGCGAGCTCCTTCGGGGACAGACCGGGAGGCCCGCGAGCTCCTTCTGGGACGAACGGGAGGCCGCGAGCTCCTTCTGGGACAGACGGGGAGGCCGCGAGCTCCTTCTGGGACCGACCGGGAGGCCGCGAGCTCCTTCTGGGACAGACCGGGAGGCCGCGAGCTCCTTCTGGGAGGCCGCGAGACCGGGAGGCGCGAGCTCCTTCTGGGACAGACCGGGAGGCCGCGAGCTCCTTCTGGGACGACGGCCGCGAGCTCCTTCTGGACCGGGGGCCGAGCTCTTCTGGGACGACCGGGAGGCCGCGAGCTCCTTCTGGGACAGACCGGGAGGTTTCGAGCTCCTTCTGGGACAGACTGGGAGGCCGCGAGCTCCTTCTGGGACAGACCGGGAGGCCGCGAGCTCCTTCTGGGACAGACCGAGAGGCCGAGGGCTCCTTCTGGGACAGGCGGGGTGGCCTCGAGTTCCTGGGACAGACCGGGAGGCCGCGAGCTCCTTCTGGGACAGACCGGGAGGGATCGAGCTCCTTCTGGGGACAGACGGGAGGCCGCGAGCTCCTTCTGGGACAGACCGGGAGGCCGCGGCTCCTTCTGGGACAGACCGGAGGCTTCGAGCTCCTTCGGGACAGACCGGGAGGCCTCGAGCTCCTTGACTGGGAGGCTCGAGCTCCTTCTGGGACCAGACGGGAGGCCGCGAGCTCCTTCTGGGACAGACCGGGAGGCTTCGAGCTCCTTCTGGGACAGACCGGGAGGCCGCGAGCTCCTTCTGGGACAGACCGGGAGCCGCGAGCTCCTTCTGGGACAGACCGGGAGGCCGCGAGCTCCTTCTGGGACAGACCGGGAGGCCGCGAGCTCCTTCTGGGACCGACGGGGAGGCCTCGAGTTACTGGGACGAGGACCGGGAGGAGGGCGCGAGCTCCTTCTGGGACGGACCGGGGACAGACCCGGAGGCCGCAGCTCCTTCTGGGACCGACCAGGGGAGGCCGCGAGCTCCTTCTAGACAGACGGGAGGCCGCGAGCTCCTTCTGGGACAGACCGGGGGGCCGCGAGCTCCTTCTAGGACCGACGGGAGGCCGCGAGCTCCTTCTGGGACAGACCGGGAGCCGCGAAGCTCCTTCTGGGACAGACCGGGAGGCCGCGAGCTCCTTCTGGGACAGACGGGGAGCCGCGAGCTTCTTCTGGACAGACCGGGAGGCCGCGAGCTCCTTCTGGGACAGACCGGGAGGCCGCGAGCTCCTTCTGGGACAGACCGGGAGAGCTCCTTCAGGGACAGACTGGGAGGCCTCGAGCTCTTCTGGACAGCCGGGAGGCCTCGAGCTCTTCAGGGACAGACCGGGAGGCCGCGAGCTCCTTCTGGGACAGACCGGGAGGCCGCGAGCTCCTTCTGGGACAGACCGGGAGGCCGCGAGCTCCTTCTGGGACAGACCGGGAAGGCCGCGAGCTCCTTCTGGGACAGACCGGAGGCCGCGAGCCCTTCTGGGACAGACGGGAGGCCTCGAGCTCCCTTCAGGGACAGACTGGGGCCTGAGCTCCTTCTGGGACAGACGCGGGAGGCCTCGAGCTCCTTCAGGGACAGACCGGGAGGCCGCGAGCTCCTTCTGGGACAGCGGGAGGCTTCGAGCTCCTCTCGGGAGGCCGCGAGCTCCTTCTGGGACAGACCGGGAGGCCGCGAGCTCCTTCTGGGACAGACCGGGAGGCCGCGAGCTCCTTCTGGGACAGACCGGGAGAGACAGACTGGGGAGGCCTCGAGCTCCTTCTGGGACAGACCGGGAGGCCTCGAGCTCCTTCAAGGGACAGACCGGGAGGCCGCGAGCTCCTTCTGGGACCGACCGGGAGGCTTCGAGCTCCTTCTGGGACAGACCGGAGGCCGCGAGCTCCTTTCTGGGACAGACCGGGAGGCCGCGAGCTTCCTTCTGACCGACGGGGAGGCCGCGAGCTCCTTCTGGGGACGGGAGGCCGCGAACCGGGAGGCCCGCGAGCTCCTTCTGAGACAGACCGGGAGGCCGCGAGCTCCTTCTGGGACCGACGGGGAGGCCGCGAGCTCCTTCTGGGACAGACCGGGAGGCCGCGAGCTCCTTCTGGGACGACGGGAAGCCGCGAGCTCCTTCTGGACAGACCGGGAGGCCGCGAGCTCCTTCTGGGACAGACCGGGAGGCCTCGAGCTCCTCCTTCAGGGACCAGACCGGGAAGGCCTCGAGCTCCTTCTGGGACCGACGGGGTGGCCGCGAGCTTCGGAAAGGATGCGTGGTCCTCGTCTTCGCTTTCTACGGAGACCGAAAAGAGCCTCGTCGAAAAAGAGAGAAAGAAAAAAAGGGGGGGGGGGACTAAGGCTTCCTCTTGTGGTCCTGGTCTTGCTTTCCCCGGAGACCGAAAAGAGCCTCATCGAAAAAAAAAAAAAAAAAAAAAAAAATTGAGGGAACTTGGCCTCCTCAAGGTCCCTTCGAGCAAAGAGTCGGTCCTCAAAATACTCTGAAAAACACTGACAGTTCCTTCGGGTTTTCCAGTAAACAATTTTTTGATAAGTCAACGTTTCTTTAAGATTTCCCAAAACCAAAACCAAAGAACTATCAGCATCTTTCTCCATGATTAATTATCTTTTATTGTTTTACTCAAAACAAATAACTGCATTTTTCTCCTTGTTTTTGTTTTGTTTTGTTTTACTCAAAAATAGAATCGTGGACAAATAAACTAAAAACAAATAACTGCATTTTTCTCCTTGTTTTGTTATTGTTTACTCAAAACTAGAATCGTGGACAACCAACCCAAAAACAAATAACTGTCTGCATTTTCCCCTTGTTTATTTATATTTTATCGTTTACTCAAAACTAGAATCGTGGACAAATAAACCAAAACAAATAAATGCATTTCTCTCTTATTTTTATTGTTTTACTCAAAGCTAGAACCGAGGACAACCAAACCAAAAACAAATAACCGCATTTTTTCCTTTTTTTTGTTTTACTCAAAACTAGAACATCGGTCAAATAAACCCAAAACAAATATCTGCATTTTCCTCCTTGTTTATTTATATTTTATCGTTTACTCAAAACTAGAATCGTGGACAAATAAACCAAAAACAAATAAATGCATTTTCTCTTATTTTTATTGTTTTACTCAAAACTAAAACCGAGGACAACCAACCCAAAAACAAATAACCACATTTTCCCTTTTTTTGTTGTTTTTTACTCAAGACTAGACTCGCGGTCAAATAAACCAAAAACAAATATCTGCATTTTCCTCCTTGTCTATTTCTATTTTTATCGTTTACTCAAAAACTTTCGGAAAAAGCCAATGGTCTCAGACACAGATTAGGGAGATGAGGAGGGCTGGCAGGTGGGGGGGGGAGGGGAGGGGGCTATAGCACCCTAAACCACGCCGTTCTCACTTAATCTTCCCACGAGGGACCTGTGGGCGTGACCCCGTGACCTCTGTGGTGACACTGTCAGTCATATGACCCTGGTAAGTGTCTGTATCCTCCCCCATTCTCCGTCACACTCACCCGCACACACACACACACACACACACACACACACACACACACACACACACACACACACACACACACACACACACGGAGCGGGCGCATATCTCTTAAAAGTAGTTTTAATTAATAAAGTGTATTTAGAGAAGATAGTAACGTTCAAACAACAGTTTCCTCGTGAGACATCTATATGTTAATATTTTGTCATTTTTGCTCTCTCTCTCTCTCTCTCTATTTAGACATCTATCTCTCTCTCTCACACACACATTCCTATCTCTCTCTGTCTATCTCCCCTCTCTCTCACTCTCTCACACACACATTCTCTCTCTCTCTCTCTATGTCTCTCACACGCATACACACTTACATACGTATACACACACAACACACACACAACACACAACACACACACACACACACACACACACACACACACACACACACACACACAACACACACACACACATACAAACGCACATAAACCCGCATTGAGCACAGACAGGCGCACCTGAACGCCCGCGTATCTGTATCAATCTCTCTATCCCTTAATATATGTATATACGTATCAGCTGATGATGCAACAGGTGTGGCAGCCTGATAAGTGAGCTGCACAGGTAACACGCAGCGATTTATGAGGGTGGGAGCCAGCTGGTCGAGCAGATGGATGTGTCCACTCGGAGGAGTGTATACCGAGGAACAGGTATTTGCGTGTATAACATGATATTAAGATTGTGTGTATGTTGAGGGCGTGGGGGGATGGAGGGAGGGGGGTGGGGGAGGGGGTATGGATATGAGGGTGGCGGGGGGAGGGTGAGGGATATGAGGGTATGGGGGAAGGGGTGGGGTATGGGGGATTAGCGATATGAGGGGTGGCGGGAGGGGGGTATGGGGGGGTGGGCTAGCGATATGCTATTCCTTCTCCTCTTCCTTTGTTCATTTTTTTTCTTTTTTTTTCTTCTTCTTCAATCCTTCGTCTTTATAATTCATCTAATTCTCCATTTACCTCCTCACTCTTTTATCATACCTATTCCCTCTTCCTCCTTCTCCTCCCCCACCTCTCACCTTCCTCTCTCCTCCCTCCTCCCTCCTCCCTTCTCCCTCCCTCCCTCCTCCACCCTCCCTCCTCCCTCCACCCTCCCCCTCCCTCACCCCCACTCCCCCCCCCCCTCCGAGTCAACGTGTGAGTCCCGCTCCCGCCCCTCATCGCCTCATCAGCATATATAACTTACTTCTCCCAGCCTTGGCACTTTTATATGTCTAACAAATACTCGTAATATGTGTGTCCTCATCAAGCCACCATTCTCAGCTGCAATTATCACATTACCCCGTAAAAGTTGGGTAAAGTTGCCGGCATGGCAGAGCGGGCGGGAGAGGAGAGGGGGGGGGTTGCCAGCGCGGGATTACGTCCGCAGCTGCCGTGGCGAGGTGTCTCCTCTTCTCCTCCTCCTCCTTCTTCCTAATCCTACTCCTGCTTTTACTACTCCTACTACTACTACTACACATCCTCCTCCATCACCTACTCCTCCTCCTCCTCCTCCATTCTATTCCTTCCTCTTCCACTTCCTCCTCCTCCACCTCTTCCTCAACCTCCACCACCACCCTCTACCACCCACCCACCCTCCAACCACCACCCCCACCTCCTCCTCCCCCCCACTCCTCCTCCTCCTCCTCCAGGCCGGACCCAGCCGCCCCGCCGCTGCTGCTAAATCTACTGCTTGCTCGAATTAGCATCCACTAGCTAATCAAAGTCATAAATAATTCGCTAACGGCTAATTTTGAATGCGTAATTAACCCCAGCAAATCTGTTTCGGCGTTTGTAATGGCAGTTCATCTACTACACGTACAGGAAACTAATACGACAGGTGCCAGGCTGTGACTGCTGTATCAAGGCGCATAGGTGTGGTAAAGAGATATGGCTGGTGTGCAGGATGTGAGGACCAAATCACACGTTTAAGGGATTCCGTGGGTACTAGGAGATAGAGAGAGAGAGGTTAGATGATTCAGATATAGCAGTCGAAGGGACTGAGTGGAGAGGAGTAGTGATTGGGAGTTCGACAGTACGCGTAGCGCTGATGCGAGGTTGAGCGTCTGATATAGAGAGTATGCACACGCGCGTAAAGAGAGAAGCAATCATCGCACGCGAGACTGATAATATGAGAGTAGATTGATAAGGGGTGAGATAGCCTCCGGGGCGACACATGGGGAGGATAAGGAGGAGGAGAACGGGGGAGTAGTGTAGGCGTAGAGGGGTTGAAGGAAAGGGAGAGAAAGGAGAGGTGAAGGGGAAAAGAGGGAGAAGGGAGAGGAGAGGGAGGAGATGGAGAATAGATAGAGAGATGAAAGGAGAGAGAGGAGGTGGGAATAGGGAGAGGGGAGAGATGCATGAGTAAGGAGAAAGGGAGAGCAACGGACGCAAGAGGGGAGGGGAAAAGAGGGAGAGGGGAGATGGAGAAAGGGAATGTGCGAGAGGGAGTAAGAGGGGCGGGCAAGGGAGCGGAGAGGTGGAGGAAGAGGCATTGGTAAGGCTAGGAGAGACGAGCTATGTGTTAGACGCCAGCAGATTGGCCGCATCACACGCCAGGTTCAGTGATTTACTAATCAAGATAAGAAAACAGTAGAAGGAGCTCAGAGTTAATTGGAGAAGAGTAGAGAGAAGCACAACTGATAGAGGGCGATAAGAGGGGGAGTGGGAGAAGGCAGACAGAGGGGTAAAGAGGAGAGTGTGACGATGATCAAGATGGGAGAGGGAGAGGGAGAGCAGGGAGAGCTGGGAAGAGGGAGATGAGAGAAGATACGATGGCGAGAGAGTGGAGAGAGGGGAGAGAGAAGAGGGAGGAGAGAGAGAGGAAAGAGAGAGGGAGAGGAGAAGAGAGGGAGAGAGAGAGAGGGATATGAAGAGGAGAGGGAGAGAGAGAGAGGGAGAGAGAGAGGAGAGAGAAGAGAAGAGAGAGAGAGACGAAGAGAGAAGAAGAGAGAGAGAGAGAAGAGAGAGAGAGAGAAGAGAGAGAGAGAGAGAGAGAGAGAGAGAACAAAACCAGTTTCGAAACCACTCGAACTGCATACTGGAATAGAATCCGAAACCTTATATTTCAACTTTAATAAACCTATTTTGTTTTGTTTTATTATTTACGGGATTTCTTTGTTTTTGTGATAAACAGACGTAAAAAAATAGCAAGACGAAAATATGAGAAGAGAGAAAGACACAAATAGATAGAAGGAGAGAGAGAATGAGATAGAAACGTTAAAAAGGAGTAAAAGTAAAAAAAGAAAAAAACAGACAAAGGTAAAAAAGAGAGAGAGAAAGGAAAAGGAACAGCCAGACAACAGAAAAAAAGAAAAAGAAATAGATAGAGAAATAAAATACAAGAAAAAGAGAACCTGAGATAAAGAGAAATAAAAAAAGAAAAATGGACAAATAAAGATAAAAGACGCAGCACACAGACAGACGAGAAAATCACACACAGAGATAGAAGACGATAAATGGGGAATAAAAGAAAAATAGTAATAAATGACAGAAAGAAACAAAAAGACAGGAAAAGGAAAGTCAGAGATCAACAGACAAAGAAAAGGGAAGAAACGTAGAAAAAGACAAAGAATAATAAATAAATAAATAAATAAATAAATATAAAGAGATACAGCGACAAAGAGAGGCAGAGAGAGACCGTGATAAAGAGTAAGAGATAGATAATAGATAGGATGATAGATAGATAGATAGAAGAGAGAGGAGAAAGGAGAGACAGAAGGACAGAGAGGAACAGAGATAACCAAACAGAACAGAAACAAAAAACCAAGAAACCAGCCAAAAACAGGAACCAACAGACAGACAGACAGACCAGACAAACCCCCAGAAAAGTCCCCAAGAACCCGCCCCCACCTCCGTCTCCGAAAGGGAGCGGGGGAGGGGGGGGGGTTTTGTTCCCTCGACTTACCACTCCCCGGCCGCTCGATAAGGAGGGTGGAGTCGCCGCGGAAGTTATGGTGGGGTAGTGGCCACAGGGAAGAGAATTTGACGAATCCGGGGAATGTGGTTCTGTGGGCTTATCAACAAGCGGGTGGGCGGAGGCTGGGTTAGGAAGAGCTCGTAGGGCGTGGGCGGTGGTGGGCGGGTGGGGGCGGGTGCTGGGCTGTAGGGGTTGGGGGGGTTTTGGGAGGGTTGGGAGGGGAAGGCCGTGGGAATAGGTCACGTGAAATTGGGGTATGGGGGTTTGGGGGATGAGGAAGGAGGGGAAAAATGGGGTTGAGGAATAAGGAAGGATGGTGTATGAGGAAGATAAACAGAGAGAGAGAGAGGAGAGAGGAGAGAGAGAGAGTAGAGAGAGAGAGAGAGAGAGAGAGGAGAGAGAGAGAGAGAAGAGAGAGAGAGAGAGAGAGAGAGAGAGAGAGAGAGAGAGAGAGAGAGAGAGAGAGAGAGAGAGAGAGAGAGAGAGAGAGAGAGAGAGAAGAGAGAGAGAGAGAGAGAGAGAGAGAGAGAGAGAGAGAGAGAGAGAGAGAGAGAGAGAGAGAGAGAGAGAGAGAGAGAGAGAGAAGAGAGAGAGAGAGAGAGAGAGAGAGAGAGAGAGAGAGAGAGAGAGAGAGAGAGAGAGAGAGAGAGAGAGAGAGAGGAAAGAAAGAGAGAGAAAGAGAGAAGAGGAAAAGAGAGAGAAGAGAGAGAGAGAGGAGACAGAGAAGAAGGTAGAGAAAGAGAAAAAGAGAATGAAAAAAGACCTAAATATCAGTATTGATAACAACAATTAAAAAAAACACGACACAGAATGGTAATGGTATCCGGCTCTATCTCAAATACTCATAACCAAAACTATCATAATTACAAGCATAATATCTACTTAACCGCATCTGAATCTTCATTATCATGATCATCATCACACGACAATCACCATTAATATCAGGAGAAGTGACAGCATCATTAATATGAGTGCCATTGCCACTACGATTAATGATAAGAATTGCAATAATAATAAGAGTAGTAGTAATAGTAACAAAAATGATAATAACAACGATAATAGTA